CCAGTAGCCAAAAAAGCCAAAGGCGAAGTGTTGGCCTATATTGCTACTCCAGTGTGGACTTGCTGTTAATATATCTATCCGTAATGTTCTGCGCTTCTGTACAGCGTGCTTTCCCTGGGAGATGTCTGTATAAGGAGATAAGACAGCAGAACCTGTCCTCTGTTTCCATGGTGCTCTTCTTCTCTGCCAAGGGATCCCTAATGAAGGAGAATACATCCCAGTACCGTGGGAAAAGGCTCTTCCACAGCACGTTTCCTGCCCAGCCTGGCTCTCCACTGTGCTGAATGCAGTAATTGGCCTGGGAAGGCCTGTTCCCCAGGCGGAGGAGATAGGGATGGTTTAGTGCTGAGGTCAGTAGTGGCTTCCATGTCCATCACTTCCCCCCCTTCCCAATTAGATTCACTGATACATGGTTGGCTGTGTTTCCCCTTCTCTAGAGGCCGTGGGATGAACCTCAGTGGACACCACATACGACGCTTTCCATCAGAAGGGGTACAGAATGAAAGTCAGGTCTCTGGACTCACAGCAGCACATTCAGAACAAGCTGATGAGGGGTCAAAATGTGTTGCTCCTTTTGCCAGCATTACACAGAGTTTGGTTCAGTAGGACGTAATTATCTATGAGCACATAAGCTCTTCAGGTGCCCTAAGGACTGCAAAAAAGGAGTAGGAAGGAGAGTGGGCATGATGCTATCCCGCAGAAGTTTCTTTTCTTGCTTAAGAAGACTTCCGTCCTTCATGGAATAAATAGAGATGAGTGCTGCTTTGGCAGCAGCCCAGTTTGCTTCATTTGTTCTTCTGGGTGAATGTTTTTCTCTTCCCACACTCCTTTAACCTCTTCTGTCTGTTTTATTATCACAATCTTAAGTCACTGCATGGAAATCCAGAAGGAACGTTAGTTACAGATTGAGTGGAAAGCTTTCTTTTGGCAAATGCTAGCTTTAAGGTAGAACTATAAAAGGGTTTTCAATCTGGCAATGATTAATACAGCCATGTTGTTGAGATGCTCAAAAGCTGTAGCTGTTGGATTTCCTATTTTGTCCTGTGGGTTGGAATTGCAAAGTTTAAGAGGAAATAATTTTTAAAGTATTGATGCAAGATTAAAAGGAAAATGGCATGATTTTTGGGAACCACCTGAGGGCTTTCAGCTTTGGTCTCAAGTTTCTTCTTGAGGTTTGAGTGGACTTTATGACTAGCAATAAAATAGCAATGCTATCCAGAAATAACTATCGCCTCTTCCATGTGAATAGTTGTTCGCTATGCCACGCTGCTGCTAATATTGTTCAGGTCAAAAAAAAATGAGGTAATTGGAAGCTGTATAGGTTGAAATGAGTAAAACTTCAGTTAATACACACTGATTCGAAATAATCCATGTGCTTATTCAGGATTAACTTTCTAACCCTGTGGTGGTGCCAGGATTTATTGTGCCAAGTAACCTTTGTGGCAGGGAGAGGTGGAGGTGGGAGGACTCGCTCAGCCATCACTCCTCTGTAGTCAGGTGATGAACCAGCAGCTCTTCTGGCAATGTTAGATCTTGACACTCCTGTGAGTGCGGTCCAACACTCACCTCCTGTTTTGTAGCGCTTTATTTTGAGCTTCCCTGTATTAGGAAATGTACTCAGATGTGCCTTGTATAGCCCATTTCTGTTGTGCAGATTGATATTCCCTTTCTTGACTGCATTTGTGATGGCAATTTCTTATGTGAGGACACTTCCTGCTGGGGAGGATGTAATGGAGTATCCGTCCCTGAAGTGCAATTTCAGGAGCAGAAATTAGCCTACCAGGACCAGGAAGATGAGAGAGACATTCATGTATGTAATGATGTAGATCACAGTTGGGAACTTGTGGTTGGAGAGAGCTGCAAACAGCTGTTTTGTGTGGACATTTATCATCCAGTAGACAGGGCTGCATGTTGGTTGAACCTGTCTGCAGGAACAGAAGCTGTGGTCCTGGAGGCTTTGAATTGTGCTGCACTTAAGGCCAATCAGCATGTATGTCCTCAGGGTGCAGTATCAGCACCTGAAGGTACCCTAGTGCAGTGAGCTAGCTCCTGGCTCAATGGAGCTAATCAGTACAGGGGTGTTTTTGTGGGGGGAGCTTCTCGCCATGCCCTGTATTTCCTACTGTGATGGTGCCTCTCTCTGCAAGGGAGCCTAGATGTTTTCTGCCCCTTTTGGCTTCTTATTCATATTGAGAGGGTGAATGCCATGAACCCTGGCAGCCAGTCAGAGCTGAGGAAGGCTGTTAACACTGCAGGAGGCTGCTGAGCACGTCCCTGCACGAGACCAAGAGCGTTCAGGTTTCACAGTGCCTTTCTAACCTAACAGTGCCGCTCTTGGTTACTTCCCTATGTACTTTTATTTTGAAAGGGCTTCTGAACACTTTGTCTCCTGCCATCCTGGCTGATACCACTTGGATTTACACTCGTTTTCAGGGACTGCTCTGTCTCCACTTCTGCCATTAGTGTCAGCACAGTGGTAAAATGTTGCTCCTCCAAGTTGTCTTCGTTTTCCTGTAAGGGCAGTTCATGCATCATTTGCGATAAAGGTTCTGATAGTTCAGCAAATGTTCAAAGACAAATTGATGCTCTTTTGTGGCAAAAGGCCCAGTGCATAACTTTACATTTACTTGGGATAATGTGGCCTTGGATAACCGAGTCCCAGATTTAGTGTTGCAGGATAAAATGTCTGAGGGCTTATCCAACCTCAACCTCCCTTTTTAAATACTGTTATTTAATCCTGAGAAGCAGGCACAGGCATATCTGTGGTTGCAACCAGGCTTTCACTGCCAGCCAGTCTCTGGGTCCTAAACTGACTCATCAGTCAGAAAGATTAATAACTGCTCTGCTGGATGATTTCACTTGTTGTCATGGCACGTATCCATTAATGGAAAACAAATATTCTCTGGAAAATGAAATGCAGATCTTGGTGCACTGGCCAGCCAAGTCCTTTTGGCTAAATGCTTACATTCAGCACACGTTAAAGCATCCCTTCAAAGTGAGCACTTCAGGTTGCTTGGTGCATAGCAGTCTTTTTAGGTGTTTGTTTTTTTCTTTTCTTTTTCCCCCATTTGAAGGGATCTGTTCCTCCACATCTGGAGCTGCAGTGACTTTTTTTTTTTTTGCTGATAAAGAGTCTGTGGGAGAAGCTTTTTGGTGAGCTCTGCTTTCCAGCAGCAGTGCCTGCTGGTGCTTGTGGGAGGGCTGAGGGTGTGAGCGAAGAAGTGCAGGCATGCAGTGCAGGAAGGCTTGGCGTTACAGCAGCCTGAAGTGTTTAAAAAACAACCAACGTCCCCAAGGAGCTTTGGTACGCCGAATGTGTTGGTTAATTTAGTATTGAGTGCTTGTGCATTGCAGGCCTTCAGAAGTGGGAGAACTTTGGGTCTCTGAAGGCAGCTTCCCTCTCGAAGGCCTCTCTCTGCTCAGGAACTTGAACAGCGCGCACCATCTGGCGTAATCATGGGAAAGGGGGATTGTGCTTTTTCCCTTCCACCCCCACTTCTTTCTCTCTCTTTCTCAAAAAAAAAAACCACCCAGGGTCAGTTCCTATAGGAGGACGGAGTTTCAGCTGTTTAGTTTGGGAAAGCTGCACCTGTAGGTGCTCTGCATCCCTGGCACTGCTGCTGAGCTTTGGGTTGGTTCCTTTGGGCTGCAAAGGCGAGCAGCACGGTACAACATGGAATATCTGTGATGCAGCAGACAGCCCTAATGAGTGTGAATCTCATTATGAATGGTTGATGGGCACTACAGCTGTAAACACTGATGTTGGCTTGGCTGGGAAGTATGTTCCAGTGTTGTGTGGCTCATGTAGCTTGCCAAGATAATAACTCAGCTGGGAGTACCTACAGAGAGAGCTGGGGGGGAAGGAAGGGAAAGAAGAACTTTTTGAAGAGGAACTTGTTACCAGTCTGGTTTAGAAGTACTCATAAACATTGTTGAGAATCTTACTGCAACTGTGGCATTCCTAAGGAGGAAAAGAGATGCTAATTAAAAATGCCTAAACTTTTGTGTTACATTTGCTGATACTGATCTGTGCCTGCCTTTCTCATGTTAGGGCAGTGATGAAACTTGGGGCTTTAACTATACAGTTTGTTGGTGTTTGTCACCGCTATGCAAGGTTTGCCCTCAAACTCTTCTGCATGAAATAACATCCGTAATTTCATTCATTCATTCACATGAGACAGGGTGACTGGATTTGGTGTTAGAACTGATTTCGCTTTTTTTATTCAATGAAGCAGTTTTGCATTTTGGCATTTGGGCCAGGATTTTCTGAATACAAAACAATTGGAATGCAGTTAACCACTTAAGGCTTTCCTTTCCTCCCAGGGAACATCTGAATAGAAATAGGTGTGACAATACCTCTGCTTGTGACTACTTTGAGCTGCTGTGTCTGTAGCACCCACGTTAGTTTTACTGTATATTTGTAAGTGGATGGGTGGTAGATGGAGGGTTTAGCATTTATTCTAGGCCTATCTAGAATAGAAGAGTTGCATGGGCATTCTTTTTTTCTTTTTAATTCAATCTCACTCATGTATAATAAATTCCACCCCCTTTCAGACCTACTCATGCACTTGGATTTCTAATGAAGAGCCCTGCATATTTATTCATGAGGATTAAAGGACTGTACAGATAGAGGCAGCTGGCTGAACTGTTTATTTATTTTTTTCCTCTCTCTAAATCTGCTGACCTCTGATCTGGAGCAAAGAGGAAACCATCCCTGATTGACTTTGACTGTTTGCAGACCGGGTTGGACAAAATGGCTCAGCTCCTTGTGGTTCGAAGGCAGGATGTGGTGTCACTGAGTAGAGGCAGGAGGAGGAAGTGAGGCTGCATGTCTCCTGTTTTTGGCTTCTGAAAACAAAGCAGAAACCCCTACTCAACAACTGGTTTCCAGAGTTGGCCTTTAGCACTGCATCACTGCTGAGGCCTCTGGGCTCTGCTTGCAGCCTGCACTGTGGGCAGTGATGGCAGCTGTGGGTAATGATGGGTTTTGTTTCCCGCAGGCTCTGCTGCTGCTGGGTGGCATTGCGCTCTCCTGCCTGGCTCTGGACCTGCTCTTCCTCTTGTTCTACTCCTTCTGGCTCTGCTGCCGCCACCGAAAGAGCGAAGAACACTTGAATGCTGACTGCTGCTGTACAGCATGGTGTGTCATCATCGCAACCCTGGTGTGCAGGTAAGGCTGTGAGGGATGCTTCTCTTCCATGATGCAGGACATCCTGCATGCTGTTTTCATGTGGTGTGCTTGCCTGTAGTTAGTAATTGTTGGTCATTTCTTTTTCCCCTCTGTATTTGTGTGTTTTAAAGTATTTTCTTCCACTATACCACTTGCTGAAGTGCCTAATGATTTCAGCAGCATGAAAAGGAATAGCTAATGGCCTGCTCTTTGATACTGTGCAAGTGGTAAATCAGAGGCACTATCTCCTTGGAGGCTTAACACTTAAGTTGAATGGGTCCAAAGTTCAAGGAATTGTCAGGTCTAGGTGGGGTGTCCACAAAGAACGACTATGGGGAAAGTGGATTATGAAGAAAGAGGCACAGATAGTTCTTTTGGGTATGGGGGTGTTAGTTTTTGACTGGACGTGGACATGCAGGTGGAATCTGTGTAAGGCTTTGCTGCATTTCATCTACAGCAATGTGCAGTGGTTGTTGGTGATGCTGCCAGTGTCAGCAGTGCTTCATGTTGTGACTGACCAACAGAAACTTTCGGAAGTGAAAACAGGAGAGTTAAGGAGCTGGTGGAGAGCACACACAGAAGATGTTAGAAGAGAGTTTGTTTGACACTCTGGTTTTCGGTCAACGAAGATGTAGTTCCCATCTCCCAGAAAGACAATGATGGGACATCTGAAAGTGGGAACATGCATGCAAATGTCAGGAAAGAACTTTGGATTTAATTTATTAGGACTTGAGAAGAGTGAGTTCTCTGGGATCCATGGGCATTTGCACTGAGTGCTGAGGTTTGGAGTGGTTTTTCTGTTGTTTTGTTTTTTTGGTTGTGGGTTTTTGTTTTTTTTTTTTTTTTTTTTTTTTTGCTGATTCCAAGCATCAGCTGCTCTTACCCAAGGTTTCAGGTGGTCTGATTTTCCCCTTTGCGGGTTTGAGAGCTGTCCCCTATTCATGAAGGAGATAACAATGACAAACTTGCTTTTTTGTTATCTCATGGCCCACTATAATTGCTATTAGATCATGTTCTAGACCCACCTTTATGGAAGCAAGCATGTTCCTTGAAGGCCATGCTCAGCTTTTCAAGGACTACTAATGGACTTCTTTATTTACTCTTTCAAGGTATATTTGAGAGACTAGAAAACCCCTGTCGTACTGGAACAGAGCATAGATATCACTGTGATGTCTCTTCATGTGCAAACTGTGGATGGATTTGCGTATGAAGTCCAGGGCTCAGTGATTTGGAGACCTCATGCATTAACAAATAATGCTGCCTTTGCATGGAGCTCTTTCTCCTGTGCTCTGCTGACTGCAAGAAAGTGCCTGGAATAAAAAGACAAACTAGGGAACAAGTCATAAAGAAGAAATCTCAACTTCAGTCACCTTTATTTTTAGTGATCTCAAGAGCTTCAACTGCATCCATTCCAATCCACTGAAAGCTCTGTGGTTCTAACCCTTTCTTACAGAAGCTCTAACTGATGCTATTTATAGTGGTGTTGCTGTTACAGGCACTTGTTAGCTATTGTTATGCAGCATTTGTGTCCAAGACAGCTGCTGCAGCGTGGTAGTTCTGTTTGTTTTTCATTGTAGGCAAGGTTGAAAAGGAGGAATTCTGCATATCTCCCAAATTTGTTTGTGAGACAATTTAAAGTTGGAAGGTCGGCATTTAAATTCTGGTGAGACTGATGCAATTCCCAGTCATGGCTGCAAGCTGGGAAGCATTTTAGGCTCACTCTAAATCTAACCAATTGGTTTACATCCTTGGTGTACCATTTGTTTTAGCAAGTATTAAATCCAGGAGTATCCTAACAATTAAGATTCTACTGGAATCTGAGGTGGTATTGCATGAATACTCGTTTTAGTCCATTTTGTTTTATAAAAGTTCCCCACTGACGTTGGTTTGTTTTGTGATAGCAGGGTGATGCCACCTGTGGGAGCTGAAAGTGCTGCCTGAGTGCTGCTGCTCTCCTGTGGGACTGAGCTCTGTGTTCTGCCCCTCTCCCAGCAGCTGTACATGACAGTGCTCTTGAACTGATGACTTTGGGCTGTCTGCACTCAGTGTCTGTCTGGGGTGCAAAAACAGCTCCCAACGAGCATGGAATCTATTCTGTGCTAGTGGGAAATCACAGTTAAATACCAAGAGTCAAAGATCAGCCAACTGGATGTATCCTGTCCTGGCTGTGCATGACACACAGCAGAACTGCCTGACCAGCAGATGCTGTGATGTTCCAGTGAGTGGGAATAAGGCTCTCCTGAACACCTGTCTGTGGCAGCAGGCTGACCTGGGAGGCAGCTTGTGTGGCTGTTTGCAAGTGAACAAAGGTAGCTTGGATGCTCAAGCAGCCAGAGGATCCAGTCAGGCTGGGCTGGTCTGTTCAAGTTCCATGAAGTGGATTGTTGGCTTCCTAGCTGAAAACTAGTTAACTCTGTTTGAGCCCATGCCTAATACATGCTTATCTAAGTTGTGGGTGATCCCTGAGGGCTGTTTGTGAATCTTTCTGAGTAGTGCATCACTGTGCATCACCGTTTTCTAATGACTGTATTTCCTGCTGCGCAAAGGGGGGAATGCTGAGCCAGCAGGAAGGCAGAACTAGTTAACTGGAGTTCTGCAGCAAACTGTCTCTCTAGTGAGTCTTCCCAATTGCTTGAACCACAAAGCTGCAGGATGGACTTGCCTAGATTATTCCTTGAGAACTGAGTTCATTTCTAGTCCTTAGTAATTTCCATCAGCTTCTGTGTATGGGGAGTTGTCATCTCATATAAATCATCTCATCCTCAAGTACCTGTAGGTCACAGTAATGCTCCCAGAAGGAAGCTCTGCTCTGAAGGCAGGTAGGAAGCTTCCTGGAGAGAATACCTAAAAGAAATGGGTACAAATAGGTGGCGAAATCTTGCTTTCTCAAGTGCCAGTAATAGCACTTTCCCTTGGTGCTAAAGTGCAAGGTGGTAATTAGACAGACAAATTAACATTCCTCCTGAGAACATGAAGTCTAAAAAGGGCTCTCCTTATGAAGTTCCTGTAATTAAAGCTGACTTGGTGTAGTTAGATTATTCATTTCTAAGGATGTGATGTGAATGGCTGGTGCTCATCTTCTCAGACTGGTGATTGAACATCCACAGGGGTTTTCTCTGTGTGCAGCATGTGTTACGACTGGAAGATCTCTACAGCAGCAGGCACGAATATGTTCTCCCTGTCAGATTAATGCTCTGCTGTTCATATATGCCTTTTGTAATCCATAAAACATTTTTTTTGTGGGTGACATTGCAAAGTAATTTGGAATTGCAGTTGATTTCTTTTTCTTGTCTCTTTATTATGGCATGTCCTAAGCTCACACAATTCTTGCATGCAAATACTAGGAAGGCTGTGTCCTCAGGGAAATCCTGCTGTGAGCTTTTCAGGAAAAGAGAGGGAAATGTGTGGTTTTTTTTTTCTGCAGACTTGAATTTCTTGGGCCTTGCTGTAAAGCAGTACTGAAGTGCTGCAACATGCAGTAATTGAAATCATACTGTTGTCTCTATGAATTAAAGTCACAGCCTGCTGCTGTTCTCTCTCATCGCTTAACCCTTTAAAGAACTGTTACAGTACATAGGCAATAGGAATGAGAGTGTTCATCTCAGAAATGCACATTTTTCTCATATTAATGTGTACAGGTTTCTAAAAACTTAGTGAAATGAGCAAGCCAAGCAGCAGGAGCTATTTATTAAATGACCCGAAAAGGCTTGGTGGATGGATTTTCAGATTCTTATTTAAAAGACACTATTGAGAAGGAAGGCAGAGAGAGGTAGGGGTGCTGGAAGGAGCATGGGACTGACACAAGTCTGGGAGGAAGAACTGGGGGTGGGATGGTGAAGAATGGGGAGGTAATGTGCGTGTTGGGGAGATGAGTGCAACAGGAATGGCAATAGCAGCAGCAGAAGTGACTTTCTTATGCAAGTGTTGAAAATGTGTTGGAGTCGTATCATCTGGAGGGTGCTAGGGTGGAAAAAAAGCTTTGTCATTCAGGATTGTTGGTCTTGTATCCAGGCTGCATGACAGAAATGCAGGCATTGGGCGATGATTTTGTCATGTGAATGGTATCTGCTATAGCTGAGGCTGCAGAACCTTCCAGGGTTTGTGTATGGAAACACGTGATCTGTCTTGGCCTCAAGGGCTTATGCTGTTGGGTCACAATAAGTATATCTGTTTTTACTTTAAAAGACTGAGCTCCGATGAAAGAGAGCCCCTGTTTCTTTTTAATCAAATAAAAATATAGTTAAAAACGAGTGCAAATCCTTAAATCTGCTTTAAACAATAGCAGCTTTTACCTGTGTGTGTGTGTAGGCAGGGATTTGAAACAACTGTTGGATGTAGGTGAGGCCAAATACTTACAGAAAGCTAAATACCATGCAGTTCTCCCATTGCCTGGCTTTTCCTAGCACAGTGTGAGGGCAGAGCTGGCTTTTGCTGGGCTATAATGTGGTAATTAATCTTGCATGTAGACTCTAGTGAACATATCACATGCGTGTCCAGGGGAATTTGTTACTTGAATTAAATGCCTTTTATCCCCAATTCCTGTTGTTGTCTTGCTGCCTTATAGGAGTCATGCCTGTTGGTAATGCAGGGCTGGGCAGAAAGCCTGTGAGGATGGCTGCTGGGCAGTGCTGCCTCTGCTTTGGCAGAGTCTCCAGTCAGTTCCTGTGATGGTAGCACTGCATGCTGAGCACATTTGACCACACTGGCTGAGGTACCTACCTGTATCGTGGTGTTATGGACAAAATGACTGCAGCGTGCTGCTTCTGAGCCTCTTCCACCAAACTGTGCTGCTGTGCTGGAATACCAAGAACCGAGCAGCGGGGTTCAGCCTGTGCTGAAAGAATAGCATTCTAGTAACTGGAACAGGATGAATAACATTGCTTACAATGTAAAGGGTCTGAATCTGCATATTCAGTGTCAGGAATGTCCCAAGTTTTATTTGGTTGTAAAAGCAGCTGCTAAAGTTTTTGTGCTGCTCTGGACAGCAGATTTGTCTGAGTTTGTTGGCTCTGATACAGGGCTAGGGAAATTCAAGTTACAAGTTTGTAATTGCAGTGATGAGGTGCTGAGTTGCCTTATCCTAAACATGGACATATTTCAGAACCTACATTATTTTTCAGCGGTCAGGGAGTGTTGGTTTCTTTTTTTTGTTGTTGTTTTTGTTTTCTTAATCCCCATCACCTGCAATATAAAGCTGCCACCAGGAAGCAAGGTGGAAAACTTTTCTCTTTCATTATTGGGCATCATTGGCATTATGAAAATATTTGAGGAAAGGTGTTTGTGAAGAAAGACTCCATTCTTGTATTAACACCAAATATTAAGGGGGGGGAGGGGGGGGTGGAACAAGGCATGGGCAGGAAAGCTGGGTGCTGTGTTCCTGCAGGAGAGGAATAACAGCTGAAGCAGTGGTTTGGACTGCAGGCTGTGTGTGCCAGAGCAAAGCTAGGCAAGTGACTGTCAGCCAGGCAGAGCCCACCCTGGCCTGTGTGGGTGCATTTCCCATCTGGATGGTGGTGGTGCTGGTGACCCTTCCTGTCAAAATAAAGGCACTGTGCTTACCCTGAAAGCTGTTGTCTCACTTGCTTCCTTCCTCTTGTTTATCTCCTTCAAACCAGCCCTGTGAGTGCTATGCCATAACACAAACTTGTTGTGAAGAAACTGTTTAATCCAGGAAATCTTTAATTTATGCAAAACAACAACAACAAAAAACCACAACACAAAACCTGTCCTCCACCCTCCGCACCACCACTGCCTTCCTTTCTTGTAGCCCAATCTCCGTGTCTTGAGAACCATCCCAGAAAAGAGTCTGAATATTCTGAAGCCAAATGTGAGATAAGAACAGGAAATTGGTGCCTTGATTGACTTACCTGAGTTTAGTTATATGATCCCTTCACAAGTTCTTTCTTTCTCTGTTATTAAGGGGAAAAAAAAGGGCTTGGGGAATGGTGAGTTCCTGCAGTGATGCCTTAAAAAAAGGTATTGCTGGCTTGCCTGGTTGTAACTCATCCACAGGATCTTCTTCCTGTAAGTGAGGTTTAAGCTAATATGGTTTACTCCATAATTAGGGTGGACTAATGTGTGTGGACAGTTACAGCAAATGAGCTGATAGGTGGTAATTTGCTAAACAGCTGGAATTGAATTGTCCACAAGCTTGAAATTCACTTGCTTAAAAATAAATAAGCTTTTTGGCCAAGTAAGTTATTAAGCTTTGCTTCCCAATTATCTAAATCAATACAACACAAATGCTTCTGATGGGAAGATAAATTAAGAAATAAGTCTGAACATCTACTGTCAGGCTGTGGAAAGGACATGGAAAATGGATCTTAAAGATCCATCATTGTGGACAAGTAGTTACTGCAAGCTCTATATGTTCTTCCCTTAAAAATATAATGAAATAATCTGTATTTCATATCCAGAGAAGGCTTGGATGTGGTGCCATAGCAATGGTAGCACCCATTTCTCTTGCAGGAGCCACTGAAGGGCACCTTGACTGGCTGGATTTCTACATGCCCATGTTTAGGGTTGAGCTCTCTAATGGTTCTTTAACAGATTGACCACAAATAAAATGTACTTACTGAGAAAGGGTGGTTTGTCACATGTGCTGTACAGGCAGTTATTGGCTGCATGGGAAGTGCACACAGATATTTACAGGGGATTTTTTGTGTGTGGTCGCTGGGGAGCGTGACTGCCTCCAGCTGCTCTTTGTGGAGGCACAAAGAGGGGATGCAGCATCCCCTTCTGTCAAAGTCTCTGACGTGGCTATGCAAGAACTAATGTGACTTACCTGGTAGAGGTAAGCAGTGTGTTATATTGCTGCCCTTTAGCTTGAGCTGTACCCTGTCTTCCATTTTTTTTTTTTTTTTTCTCTGCAGTGCTGGAATTGCTGTTGGCTTCTATGGGAATGGAGAGACAAGTGATGGCATCCACAGGCTGACGTACTCCCTACGCCATGCAAACCGCACTGTGGCAGGTGTCCAGGACCGGGTGAGCACGAAAGCAAATGGGTAGTGTGGGAATGGGCAGCCTCAGCACTTCTCTTGAATCTGGCTGTGCATGTATCTCTGCCTTTTTTTTTTTTTTTTTGCTAGCTTCTGAGCTTAGAGATGTGCTAAAATTTCCATTAATGGAGCGATGCTTTCTTCAGCTCTTCTAAAAATATCAAAGCAAACACAGCTCGTTAAACGAAGTCTTCTCTTTGCGATTGTGCCTGTTTTAAAAACAGCTTCTGATCAGCTCTATTCCGTGGACGTGGAGGCAGGCCAAGGCAGACAAGTCTGTTAGCAAAAAGGATCACTTGAGCACAATTGGTTGTTCCTGTGTTACATCAAACGTCATTAGCTCTTTCTGCAACCTTGAAGGCTACTAACCTCTTAACCTCATGGCATGGTAACCTTCAACAGATGTCCTTCTGCTAGACTTGATTGCAGTCATTTTTAACCTGTTTTAGGAGTAAGGTGAATGTCTCATTTGGGAAAAAAAAATTGCATTCCCAGCCTTAGTGGCTGTGTTCTGGGTTTGTGTAGTTCTGCTGTTTATCTTGATATGGAAAATAGCATTTAAACTACATTAAAACAGAGGTATAGAACTATTTGCTTATGGGTGGGGTTTGAAGTTAAGCAGCCTGAGCCTCTTCAAACAGAATAACTGGAATCTGTCTATAATTTGCTAATAAGGATGAATTCTCTTTTACTTCCTTGTCTTCTCATCCTTTCCCTTTGCCATACTACAGGTGCTAGATACCACAGTGGCCCTGAACCAAACAGCAGAGCCAAACCTGCTCATCCTGGAGGAGATGTTTGCAAAGCAGACAGACCACTTGCACATTATCCAGAAACTGCAAAGTCTCTTGGATGATTTGGTCAGGCAAACAACTGAGATCCCCTTCTGGAAGAATGAAGAGCTGTCTCTGGAGGAGCTGGCAATTCAGATTGACCTCTATGACTGGTACAGGTGTGCAGCACCCTGTTAGTATAGTGATTGTAGCATTTGTTTTGCAACAATGATGTGTTGTGTCTGTTCTGTGGGGCTGAGCCAAAGGCTGTTTATTACTGTAGGTGCTCTTGGCTCACTCAGCTGACTTCATTATACAGCAAAACTGCATTCAGTTTAAATCAAAATACATGACAGCAACTTTTTTCTTAAGAGTGTTGATTACAAACTGAAGGGAAACATATTTTCAATGTAAAAGATTGGTTGCTTGTGCCCTAATACAAGGAGAGAAGTTGTATGGCACATTAAGTTGAATAAAGTAGGAATGTGGACTTGTTCCATGTGTTAACATCACACACTATCGTTTCTTTTTATTGAAGTTATTGAATAAAAGATAACACCAACTGTATTTCACAAAAGGAAACCTTTGTCCACACATCTGAATCCGACTGAAGTGTTTCTAACAAACATGTAGTAAGTTCAGGAAGCTGCAGTGCTCCTTCTTTACCTGATGGTGTCCAGCATGTGGCTTTTGTACTAGAGTAAGGTTAGTGGTCTCACTTCTCAATAACTGTATGCTAATCATGTTGTTTAAATGCATTTGCCTCCCTGGACTCTTGGCACAACAAATAGCCAGTGACCTCTGAAAATTAATAATTAGCAGCGGCTTTTCAAAGAAAACAAGGGCTGAGTTTGTTTTCTTGTTGTTTTTCCCTACGAGAAATTTGGACTACTTGAACTGTCCCTTTCATACATCAGTTTTCCTTTGCTGACTGTGTTTTTATTTGCTGCAGGTGGCTTGGATACCTGGGCCTGCTCCTGTTCCATGTTCTGATATGTTTGTTGGTGCTCTTTGGGCTCATCAGAAACTCCAGGGCCATTCTTATGGGGTAAGTTCTGACTCAGGGACAGCACGTAAGGAATGCAAGTGCCTGCTAGTTTAAACCTCTAGTCTGTTGTCAATTGATTTCAAGGACTTCTGAGGCTGAACAGTTTAAATCTGCCTCTTAATGCAGAGTACCTTTGTAGAGCATTGCTCTGTGGTTTGAAATAGGACTACATGTGAGAGATGTTCACAGGAAGGAGCTGTACAGCTCTATGATACTGTTCTGCCTGTTTTCACATCAAAAGCAACCAACTCATCTGGACAGCAGTGTGCCTTCTGCTGGGCAGCACTGGTAGTCTCTGTTTGCTTGGGAGTCAGCTGGGAAATAGTAATGTGAACATCCTCCCTTAGATTTACAGGCTGTGGAAGTCGTCTTTAATTCTCTACAGTGGTGAAGATGTTTGCTAATGGATGATAAGCACTGCCTGTGTTTGCACAGCCTAGTAGCATGCCTTTTGTGTCACAATCTGATCCTCTTTACCTTTGGTTGTCACACCTGAAGAGACTTTACAGAGAACACGCAATGGTTTGTACAGTTATAAGAAGTCTTGTTGCTATGTTACTGCAATATTAATGTGTATCTGTTTCTACAAAGCACTGCAAATGCTGCCACGCTCAAGCCCTATTACAAGAAAAAAGTGATCCTCTCCCCGTGTTGCAGCTTGGTTTAGTTTGGCATATTTGGCAAATATTACCAGTGTCATAAACACAATGAGAGTTCGACAGCTGACACAGCCAAGATTTTGTCCTGGTGTGTGGTGGTACCATTAATAATTGAAATGCATATTCAGATTTATTATTTGCCAGATGACTTCATAACTGGCAGGTGATGCAGACAAAGGTCCAAGTGTATGCACAGATGGTAAACCCAGAGTTGAAATTAGAAACTCATTCCCTCTTGCCAGAAGTTCGTTTTAAGGCATTTCCCCAAGGGAGGACATGGCATAGAGAAGCAAGTGTGTCAGAGCCAAGCAAGATGGTGAAATGCCAGTTTTAGATCTTTGAGCCAAGCAATCAGCTGCTGACCCAGTCATCTTCATTTAAAGGAAAATAAAAACTGTGTCACGTTGAACAGGTAACTGTGCCTAGCTGAAGGCACCAAGCAGTGCTGTCCTTATGTAGCAGGCCACTTTGCTCTGGAGTGCTCCACAGGATCTGCTAGGCTCTGTGGCTGTTGCAAAGGTGAATCCCCATTCTGTGCCTGGCTCTCTCCGTGGGCTGTGTGGGGTACTTGGGTGGTGTTCAGGTGCTCACAGCTTGACACCAAAGTCCAACACAGGCCAAGTATTCCCTCCATTATCTATAGACAATACAGTGCTTACAGCCTTGTTCTAGAAACAGAAGGAATTTGCTCAATTCTCAGTCGCTGCATTTTTGTGGGTTGTTTGTTAGTTTGCTGTGATGTGTTGTGTGCTTTTGGTGTTCCCTTTTTTCTTTTTATGCAGATATATGGGGCTGTTGTTCTCTGAATATCTTTCCCATGTGGAAAGTCTTGTCCACAGTGAGAATAGCCCAAGTGACAGGAATGCAGTCATTCATCTGCCAATCTGCCATTCCCTGGACTGCCTCTGTGCCTTTGACTTCCTTGCTTGGAGCTGACCAAAGACTTTTCTTCTAGCTTAGTCTTCCTCCTGCTGAGGCCCCTGGCCCAAGAAGCAATGGAACCAAAAACTGGACATTAACTTTTCTGGTTGCTGCTGTCTGCAGCACATAAAATGGGATGGTTTATCTGAAGATGTGGTGACTGTTAATTTCTTGAGTTTGGTAATTACTTTGAATCGCAGATAATGCATTTTGTGACGGGATCTGGTTAGCTTGAGATGAGAGTTTCTACATCTGCCACCTGTCTGTCTGTCTCCTACAGGGTATGCTTGCTTGGGGTGTTTGCCCTGATTGTCAGCTGGGGGTCCTTGGGTCTGGAGCTGGCTGTTGCTGTGGTAAGTGGCTCTGGTTCAATTCCCATTCACCTCTTGCTGCAGGTTTATCAGACAAGATTAAGCAGCCATTAGTACATGTTATGCACTGTTCTATTGTGTGTCTTGTTCTAGGTAGCTGTCCTAGTAACTTGGCTATGAGAATTACAGAGCTCCTCAGTGATGGGGTGCAGTGGCTTGTACTCCAGCAATGCTGAGGCTGCCTAAAGCTGTACTGGTGGGAATGACAGTGAGGCTTCAGCACCTGAAACCTCCCTGCAGTGGAAGATTCCCTGATGTTAACCTGGCTCAACTGCTATTTTATATTGGTGTTCTTTGATGTTCCTTTTCCCTTTTGCCCTGCCTCTTTCTAGGGCTCCAGTGACTTCTGTATTAACCCAGATGCTTACATCTCCAAAGTGGTTGAAGAGAACGCAGTGCTTAGTGCTGGTAAGTCTTGGGGCTGGCTTTGGCACAGGTGCTGTGGCTCTGCTGTCACGTAGGAGTGTGGCAATGGCTGAGAACTTGTGGCTGTATCCAGCTCCCAGCAGCCAGCTGTGGGAAAAACAGATGTGTGTGGAGCTTTGGAAAACCCCCGTTCTTTCAAAAAATGCTTTTATACACCAGTCAGAAGTGTATGCATACATCCTTTTATCATCATTAATAATAATAATAGTAGTAATTTTTCTGTCAGAAGAGCCTTCGGATTCTTTCTTTCTGGCCCTCAGGCAAAAATAACTGATAAGGTGGATCAGCAGAAGTCCCTGGTTTATTTAAATTGAGTGCCCTGGGTCTTTTTTTTCTCCTCTTCTAAGCAATGGAACTGTGGCAATATCAGTTTGTAGTTTGAGTTGTCATTTTTTTTTAGGTTTCCTTTTGTCTGTATTCCAGCATCTAATATATTTATTTTCTATATTTGTTATTAACAAATACATGTATCAATTTTTCTCTTCATGGTGTTTATAAATAGGAGTCTTTTGAAAGCTAATTTAAAGAATAAATGAACAGAATCAGAAGGAAAGAAATATGAATTTCCCTTTCATTGTAAATGCAGTATTTGAATTGCTTTGTTTACCCCGTTCCACTTAAAGCCAAATGCCTGCATCACAGCAGCATTCAACTGAAGCACTGATGGATGGATTCTGTATTTGTCACTCCTAATTTAGGCTGAAGTGGTTGGTGAGATGAGGGGTGCCTCCAATCTGGGCCTTGGGGGCAAAAGTGATATTCAGAATTGTGGCTTAACACAAACGTGGTTGAGTGCTCACCAGCAGAGATAGATACTAAAAAGGAAAAGTCCTTTGCAGGACTGAGTTTGCTTCTTGGCTAACAAAGAGATTGCTTCTTGGCTACCTTCTCTCCTACCCTGTTTTCTCCCTGATGGACCCTGTATGTATTTCTGATGATAAAACACAAATAAGCTGTGACCCTGATTTGTGTCACATGTAAGCCACATTCTTTACTGGTTCTCATTTGCTTGGAACGTGAACATCTTTGCTTTTCATACTGAAAGTCTGGTGTTACTGCTGTGCACTTGGCCAAGTGCTGTGTAACTGATAGGGAATTAGGTATGTGGCTATGGCTGAGGATGCAGGGACTCGAAGCCATCAGAAATATTGATGTCTGGAGGCAAAATGTATTATGAAAGAATACATACATGCAGGTTGGTAGTATCACCCGGCAGATTATTCTTAGAGTGCTTTATTTATTGATTCTTTGGAAGGGAAAGGGGAGAGCCTGGCAGCTCACTACAGAAGGGTCTTTGTAACAAAGAAATTCAGAGCAGAGAGTGAAATGTTTAATGCGTTGTGTGAAGTGAAAATCCTTCCTTTGTTACAAGAGTGGGTTCAGGTAGCAGCTAGTCTCCTTTTAGGTCTAGAAGGCAAACAGGCCATGGAGGCCAGAGGAAAATACCAGACACTGGTGGCAGTCATGCTGTGTTAACTCGATAACCCAAAACTGTGTGTGTAGTAACAACTTGGTTGACCCTAAATTCCAAGGAGTAAACCCCACCTTGCTCCTTTTCCATTTCTTTTGCCCTTATCAGCTTGGCTCCAGCAGTTTTTTGCTCATCGGTACCATTCCCATGGGGTTCCTGTGGGTCTGGCATCCCAATCCCTCCTGCTTCCCCCAGCAGGGTCAGTCACCTCCCAGAGTGAAAGAAGGCTCTGTTCCAGCAGCACCACCAGCTGTAGCAGTTGCTACGGCTCCATAAATAACAGCAAATGGGGCTGAGCAAGATGCTGAGGAGGAGGAAGAGCAGGTGCTGTCATTGGCCTGAGCTGGAAGGGTGGCTTCTTCAAGGGCTGCCAGCACATCAGCTCACTGCTGCTAGGAACCATTCAGCATTCACAAGCACCTTTCCTTGTTTTTTTGGAAGGAAATTGGTCTTCCTTCTGAGCCTGCCATAGCACTGGGCAGCTGGTGGGGAGGTGATCACATATTCTGCCTTCCCATGTGAGTTTTTACTGTTCTTATGATCAGGAAGCTATGGAAATAACTCTTGGTCCCCCATGTCGTGGAACATCCTGTGCACCTGAGCAGGAAGAAAGGCCACAATGCAAGGACTGTTGTGTGGAACTGTTTAGAGACACTCTAACTTCAACAGTGGCTCTTCTAATAGCGTTAAAAGATGCCAGCATTTACTTTAAGCTTCTCATACACTTGGCTGTAGACTGTGGCAACTGCTTTGTCATCAGTTGAGCTCTGTCTACAGGAGGGACAAGTTCAAGGATGCAGGATCAGCAGCTGAGAGCCAGAAGCAGCCCTGTCCTCCTAGGGGAAGCTGCCCTGCTGGAAGGATCCCAGTTCCAGTGCTCAGACTTGTCACACACTCTCATTTGGTGCAGTATGGATGGATGAGGCAGAAATGCTTGGGCTGTTCCACTTAGTTTCACCAGAGTGCAACCTATTGTGAATTTTTCAGTTCAGAAAACAGATTGCTTAAAAAAAAAAAAAAAAAAAAAAAAAGCATTAGTTGAAGGAGAGACTCAAATAGTTCATGGAAGAAAAATCTGTTGAGAGTTGCTGTACAGGCAGAAACCACATTTAGCTTGGGAATCACATAGCTGAAATGGCGCTGGTATGAGATACTGGGTTGGGTGCTGTCATCTGCTTTTAAGGACACTTGAGAACCAGCAAGTAACCTTAAATGTGAACCAACCACTAGCTTTACAGTGCTGGGTCAGTGTTTCCCTTTAATAATTCTGTTAGTTGTTGATTTTAGACATGTTGTTTTATAACATTCCCAGCCTTATACTCTGGCATTCAGACTAGAGATGAACGATGCAGGTTTCTGTATTTACAATGCTTTTTTGCTGTTGGTTGTTGTATTTTTTTCCCCATAAGAATAACAGCATTGGATACTGGGCAACTAGTATGTTAATGTTTGTGTATTAATTGCTATTTGCAAATATAGATAGAATTAATGGAGCTGAGCATAATCTGATTAAGTGCATCATTATTGTTGTCATGTTTTTTAGCTGGTGAGGAGATGTCCTTGTTTTGTAGAGAAAATGTGCTGCATTAAAAAAAACCAAAACCTTAACACAGGTTTCCTAGAGGAGAAGTTTAAATCATTTTGCAGAAGAGGATGGATGATGTGTGTGCCTAACATGCCCAGTATTCATTAATTGAAATAAAGCCAATGGAGTTGAACAGTGGCTGTATAATCAGCTCCTGCTGCTAGCAAAAAGACTTGGTGCAGCCAAGATGTTTATTTTCAAAGCAGGAGGCCATCTTCTAGCCTCGTCGTTTTTTCATTGATGTTATGTTATTATTAGATGACTTACTGAATAAAATTAAATAAGAAGGCAGTCTGTCTAAACAACAGGAAGAGCTTTTTCCAGATTCTCTTACTGGAAATCTTCACTGTGAAGAGATGCTTCCGCTGAAGGAGCTGCAAACCTCCTGGGATAGATAATGGAATCTTTCAGCTCCAGCCCAGCCGAGTTTGTCAAACTGGATGCTGCAACTTGGCTGTTCAGATAAAAGCAGCAAGCACTCTTAACCCCCATAGACTCCTAATTGGCCTCTTGCTCTTTACTCTCATCTTAGAAGCCCAGTGCTGAACGAACCGGGGAACTGACATCACCACCACCTTTTCCCATCTAAGGCTGGGACAAAACCCCATGTGGGGGATGTGGTGGCTGTGCTGTTACTGCTTGGGCTGTGTGGGCACAGCAGAAAAGAGCTTGTCCAAAGAAACATTCTCGAGACTCGTTCTGACCTGATATGGGTGGTCAGAAGCTGTGTTTTCCTACGTTGTTTCATCGGGTTCCTGATGAGCAGAAAGCCTTGTGTGGAGGGCAGTTGGGATGGCTATGAGCTCTTTCACGAAAACTCATGATGACATCAGTCTGCTCTCACCAGTACCAGCAGTATATCTAAGAGAAACATAGCTTCGCCTTAGGGAGAAGACTAACCTAGCAGCCAAGAAAATCAAGTCAGAAGAGTCTTCTTCCTCTTAGACATCTTAGGCAATATAGTTCAGTCTCTGCTGGTTAAACACACAGAGGCACTCTCACTGGGTGTATATATAAAATTCAGGCTGCATAGAGAACGCTCAAATAGAGCTGAAGAATAGTGGGGAAAAGCTGTTCAAGGTTTAGGCTTTGCTTTGTAAGCTATGATGTATTTTTTTTTCTCCTGATTGCTCTTTACCCTACAGACCTCCTTGCTGCCTTCTGGCAGGTGCATAATGCCATTTTCACATTTCTGCTGAGCTTTGAAATGAAGAGTAAGTCTCCATGGTTGCAGAAGCAACGAGTAGATTCCAGCAGATGAAGCATCTTCAGTAGGCAGTTCTACTTTCCTTTCGAGGAAAAACAGATTCTGTGGAGATGAAGCATTTTAGATAGTTCCCTTCCTTGCCTTTTGTTCCTACAATGCATGTGCACTGTGAGAGTGGGTCAGGAGGACTTCCAGCAGCAGGCTATGCGGTTGCATCAAGGCAGCTTCAGCGTCTGTTGTAGATTTAAAGCTGTTCATCTATCAGCACACTGTGTTCAGTGCAGGGGAAAGCTGCTCCTGCTGGCTGTGCCATTTTGGAAAGCACATTTCTGTACAGAATGCCACACTAGTCTGCAGTACTGGTGTTACTGCAGTGTAGCAGTTGTTGATTTTTGTCTTCCAGAGTAAAGGATGCACTTATTTCACTGTTCTGCTTTACTTCACTTGTAGCCACCAGTCAAAATTGCAAACTGTGATTGTACTGGGAACTGTCATAGTGATCTGCACTCTCAGGGCAATCCAGAAGGCCCTAAAGAAACCTTTCTGGAGCCGTGTATAATAGTAGGTCGTGCAACTTAATGCACTTATACAGATGATGTGGAATTGATACCCCTGTGGGAGCCTATGTGGAATTTCTGGTAGTCTGTTGATGTAAAATAAAGAAGTGCCAACATCAGAGCTGTGTGTGACACTGCAGGGTGCTGTTGCTGAGCTTTTATCAAAGCACGGGGGCACTTCAACCATTTCTCCTCCACCACTGGGGGGTGACTCAGCATCAGAGGAGCAATCCTTTCCTTGGTGCAATGCTTGCACGCAGCACTTTGTGTGGTCCTTGCAAAGCAAAGCCCACATAGCAGTTCTCACTGCCCTCCAATCTGCTCATCTTCTGCTAATTGCTTTTTAGAGGAGGCCAAAATCATCCCAAAGAAAGAGCTGGGGGGGGGTGGGAGGTGGAGCAGCTGGCAGAGCTGCCCCAAAGTCGGCTAATGAATTATAAATAACAGCTGTCAGGTTGCTTCGCAGCACATGGGAGCTGGCAGCCTGCGCTGCACTGCTCGGTTCCCAGCGCCTTGGTTTGCCAAAAGGTACATTCAATATTTATGGGAAGTGCTGCAGAGCTGGGATGCTCTCAGGTCTATTCCCTTTGCAGCTCTGCTCGCTCATGGTTGTGCGTTTTGCTGATTTCTGAGCTGGGAGTGCTTGGAGTACTTTTCCAACCTGGAATACCTGTTACTGAGAGCTGCAGATAGAAGATTAAAGGGAATGGGAGAGAAGGTGTTGGGAGAGAAGGTGGTATGTGTATTTTCAAGCTGCTGTTGTCTTCACTGAGCAAACTTCACCACTGGTTTTGCTAAGCTGATGTGCTCTCATTCATCTGAAGAGGAACTGTAAATGTTTGAGAGTTAATCTCAAGGTACTGGACTCGTAACTCTGTCACAATGCTTGTTCTCTCTGCAGCACGCAATTGAGAATCATAGAATGGTGGGGAGAAGCCTGAGATTCATAATCTGTGTGTGCTGACTCTGTCCAGGCAGTTAGTGGTGTATTATGGGGGCTCTTGAGGGCACCAGGCTGGTGAATGAGGAGAAATGAACCTGTGTCTTCAAGCATGGAAATAAGTGATGCCTTAGGAAGTGCGTTTTAACTCTGCTTGTCTGTACTCATGTGTAGAAGTACGTGTTCATTGCTCTGCAATGTCTGATAGAACTACTCAGTGTTAAGGATTGCACCTTCTTGCTGGTATTCCAGTAACAGCTTTCTTTCCTGGCCCAGTCTGCACTACTGATTTAATGCAGAATATACCTTTCCAGAAAGCTGCAAAAGAAATTATATGCATCTAAGTAGTCTGACACCTCCTAATTAAAATCTAATTGCATGCAAGTGACATCTACCAGAAAACAGACTGCTGTTTACTCGTTCATCCCCAGTGCATGTCAGAAAGATGAGAACTCTTTTTATATCCATTTCTTTCCTCAGCACGTTCCAAGATGTTTCTTGCTTTCGAAAGCAAGATATTGAAGTGATAACGTTACTACAGGTTGTTTTCTTCAGCTAGGAGGGCTTTCTTATGTTCTCTACAGAACTCTAAAACCAGTCTTCCCTTTGAGCCCCCAGTCTGGAAGACTTTTTTAGCACATGAACTTGTATATTTAGGAAGCATAATGTTTCAGCATGGTGTGGTAGCATGGGGATGTGTGTTTGCACCTCCCTTGGCCCAACGGTGTGCTTTCACAGGTACTTTAGTTAGCAGCCTGTATTTATATCACCTTTGGCAGCTCTCCTGTGCCAGTGTTTCTGTGGCTGTTTAGTGATCTCATTGGTGAATGGATCTGGCTGAAAGTTATGTCCTTACTGTATACCCCAGGCGGCAGTGCCGACCTCTGATTGTTTTCAGTGACTATAGAATGGTATTCTGATGCTCAAAAGCTGTAGAAATTAAACATTCAGTTGGACTTCTCCTAGACTGAGGTCTGGTTATGCTATGAGTAAAACTGACTTCTGAACAAAACTTGTATTAATGGTTCCCCTGACTATATAAGCCCCATACTTCTTTATTGTTGAAGGGGAGAGGAGAAAAAAACAAAGCAACAAATAGTCTTTGTTGGGGGGAGCAGAAAACAATTCTTTCTTTATCCCTAAAGATGGCTTATATCCCTTTTTCTAGTTTCCTCCATGCACTAGAGAGAGGGAAGTGGTTTCACTTATGTTCCACTTTCATTTTGTGTATTGCTTCCGGGGCTTAACACCTCCATTGTGGTAGCCATAAAATAGTGCAATAATGGAACAACATCACTCATGTGACTTTCTCTTTTGCCTTTGTAGATACTTTCCGCTATTACATCACCTGTAGCACCGGATACCCCAACCCTTTCCAGCAGGTGAGTGTGAGCACTGTGCCCACCTTCCTTCTCCACTTCTCAGCATCCTGCTTCTCACAGGGGATGGGTTGAATGCTTTTAGTGCCAGCAAGCAGCAAGTTGCAAGGTATTAGCTGTAGGAAACACTCCAACAGTTGGTAAAGCTTTGGTACCTACTTTCCAGCTGTGCAAGCAATACAGTGAGCAGTTGTTTTCCACCATCACTATTGCTTGTATGGTCTAGGATGCCCTTCAGAGGGAGCTGTATGTGATGTGGCAAGGACCATGGCTTTTGTTCATGATATCTCTGTTTACGTAGTGCTCTTCTAAGAGCAGCAATGTGGAGGCAGAGCACCCACAATTCATGCCAGGGTGGGAACCTGCAGACTTCCTGCTTTGAATCTCCTCTTGCGGTTTCTTTTTGGTTTAAGTGGCAACTCTCCACTCCCAAAACGAAGTGGGGTGGGGGAGCAGTTCTCACATATGCTTCTTAAATCCCTTGGATGTTCAAGGGTTTGCATCCTGAAGTATAAACGTGAGTCATTATTCTTTCGTGTGGGGGCTGAGAAGCAGCACCTGGGCCCATCCCAAACTTTCTCTTCTGTATCAGAGGCCAGAATGAACCCACACCACCCACTGTGCAGCAGACACCAGCTGCTTCAGTTTATAATTAGGATCTTTTTTTTAAATCTCATCTTCCTCTGTTTTCGAGGATGGGAGAAGAACACTTCAGGCTGTGCACCATTGCTATCAGTTGCATTTCTGGTTGCTTATATACTCTCTGACATGCTATAGCATGTGAAATTCCCATGGGTGCTTTAACGGGGTGTGAGAACTGTACCCCAGTGAAAACAGTTTTTAATATTTGATTCCTTCTTAGCCATCTGACTGGGTAGAAAAATCCATCTGTATGCTGTGGTGAGAATATAAGTGCTTTGTCTTGCCTTTTCTCCTGCCCCTCTGGCCTGGCATTGGCCACAGCTCTGTATATGTGTTTTGTTTGTACTCCTTCCAGTTCAGTAAAAGTAGAACTTAACGTTACTGGAACTGCATACATATCAGTTGAGATTTCCTGAAGTTGAACCATTCGTACAGGTGACACTTCAGTGTTTGCTAGTAAGATTTAAGTCTAAACTCCCAGGAGTTGTGCTGGTCCGTGAGTTGCTGAAACACTGTTTTGTGTTGAGCAGAAACTGTCAGGAAGTCACAAGGCTCTGGTGGAAATGCAAGATGATGTTGTGGAACTCATGAGATCAGCAAGCAGAGAGCATCCCACCTCCAAGGTAACTCCTCAGTTTTGCTCTCCCTGTGTACATAGCCCAGTATCAGGTTCTTCAGAGCTGCTTCCATGTAATAATCACTGGGCTTATTGCTTACAGGACTATCTTACACGGATCCAGGAGGTTCTAAATTCAACAGAGATAAACTTGCAGCAACTGACAGCTTTAGTAGACTGTCGGAGTCTGCATTTGGTGAGTACTCAGTAACTGGGCTTGTGTTAAGAAAGCACAAAGTGGGTGTAGAGCCTGTAGAGTACTGATTATTCTGGAGTTCCAAATCTCTGGTGTGCCAAAACAGTTTGTAACAACTTTACTGATTGACTCCAGCAGAAAGGAGAATGGGGTTTTGGATCAAGTTAGCTTTGTATTTTTGTGTTTGAAGATCAGTGTAGAAAACCAGATAACATCTCATTACATCTGCAAGCTGTAAGGTTAAGGGACCCTAAGCTTGTTTCTGTAGTTCATAGCTTATTCCTTTTCCCACGAAATGCCTTATAGCTGCAGGAAAGCATAATCAAACTATTGCCCTAGCTGCATCTCTGGAAGTATAGAAATAGGTAATCTGTGCTTGTGTTCTTGGGCAATAGGACAGAGGGAAGGAGCTGAAAGGCTTATTGAAAAATGTGGTGACTTAAGTTGGGTGGATAAGTTCTATGTTGGATTTTTCCTTTTTTTTCTTTAATCTCTTGCTGCCATGTCTAAATTTGCTTTGGGTTTTGTGAGTAGAGATAAAAGTTAAGGAAGTTATGAAAAACCACTCCAGGTCTCCAAAATCAAAATTAAAGTATGCTCTGGAGATGCAGCTATGAACTAGATTCTTTCAGAGAGCGTGGTCTGGGGGGAAGGCTTTTGAGTTAGAACTCAGTGTTAACTCTCTAGTGACCAAGAAACTCTGCTCCTTTCTCTCTCCAGGATTACGTCCAGGCTTTGACGGGCTTTTGCTATGATGGAGTGGAAGGCCTCATCTACCTGGTTCTCTTCTCCTTTGTCACAGCCCTCATGTTCAGTTCCATTGTGTGCAGTGTCCCACACACTTGGCAGCAAAAGAGGTATAGAGAGGGTTTAGAACCTGTAGTGTTGTAGAGCTCTTTCCTAATGAAGACTAGCTATTGGATTTGTGCCCGTGAGCATCTGGAGCACTTTCCCATGTGATCCCATGAGCGTGAGGCCTTCTTAAGCACAGGTCCAAAGGAAAAAAATCTGCTGGCGTTTGCTGTGGTGGTGATTAATATTTACATCTGAACTTCACTGTGCTGAAATACTACGTGTAAAGAGTATTCAGTACACTGTAGGACTGGAGTCAAGTCAGAGATGAATGATTGTAGCTGTAGAGAAAGGCAAATGCTTGAACTATGTGCTTCTCTGTACAGTGCCTCCTCTCTTGCATTGCTCTGGCATTTGTTCTAGTATGGGGAAGAGAACTAGGATGAGCAGCAGCTCGCACTTGCCTTTCTTGGCTTTGCTAAAACTAGGGCAACTGACTTGCACAGCTAATAGGAGTTGAAAGCAGTCGTGTCTGCAATAGCATGGGCAGATAAGATGCTTGCACATTGCTGGTGATCATGTAACAGCAGAGTTGTTTGGAACTACTGTTAATGATGGTAAGGGCTGATCATAAGCCTTGAGCGAATCTTCCTAGGGCCTCAGCAACTGGCTGCTGTACCACATGCAGCTATTAAAATAGCTTTGGGTTTTCTGTTCTTGTAGAAGACTATTAGACTGCGCAGCAAATTCTCCACTGTGGTCCTGAAACGTGATTTTTGTGGCCTAAGCCTAAACTCAAGGTTCAAAGTGGAACATCCAGAACAATAGTAGGAAGCCAGAGCCCGCCAGGCCTGCAGTGCCCGCAGAGGAAGCCTTGGGAAATGTCAGAACACTGCTGCAGAAAATGGCTGGTTTCCCTGGCTCTTCCACATACAGCTGTAGAGGCGTTTTCAAGAAGAGAATGGCAGTCTGTTTGAGGGAGAGAGATTTACAGTGTTATCTCTCATGCTGCCCATACCATCAGCCCCAGCAGGCTGCTGCTGTGAACTGAAAGATTCCCTCTTGCATTATCTGGAGCACTGCTTCTTCCTCTGGCTCCCTCAGGGAGGTGGAGGATGTCATTGCCTGTAAGAAGCTGTACAGGCTGCAATTCCCTGATTAAATCTTCAGTGCCACCTGGTGGTGCAGAAGCTGCAAGTGGTGGTGGGGATGCTCTAGGGATGCCCATCATGTCTCTGCCCAGCAGCAAGATGTTTCACGTTGAGTGTTTTTCTAGTCTTGTCCAGTATCACTAAAATGTACTTCAGATCTTGATACTTCATCCCATAATTAGGGAAATAAAATAATAGTGTGTGTTATTTCAAAGAGACAGAAGAAAGATGGGGAGGGGAAAATTAGCTTGCAAGCAGTTCTGCTCTGTATTAAAATTGATTTAAATTCCTGGCCTTGCTGAGGGAAGAAAGGCTCTAGAGACAAATGTTGTAACTTACTACATGTTGGAGACTTGTGAAGTTTTGTTAGAAGCTGAGGGAGACACTGTGCAACCATAATGGAAGTTCAGACTCTTATCCTTAAAAGTCCTCTGGACATTGCTGCAAGGAATGGAAGGACAGACTGTAGTTTGAAGGTTGTTTTGCAGAATGCCTGGCAATACATCCTTCCTACCTTTTTTACATATATTTTTTCCAAAGTACTGTGTATTTTTGGGATGCATGTCCATTCTTTGGTTATGTGACTGAGCAGCTGAAGAACCATATTGTCTGCCAAGCCCTGGGAGAAGACCATAGGGAGACTGCAGGGGATCGTGCAATCTAAAAGTCCAGATGGCATCTGTGGGAGGTCTGAGTCACAGTGGTGTAGGCTGTGTTTGACACTGCCACCCTGAGGCATCCCAACTGGGTATAAATGTGGAGGTGTGGAGGATGGTTGGGAGGTTCCTAGGATTGCCATGGTTTCCTGCAAGCCCCACGTGTGGGGTAATTGTAGGGTTCTAGGAGGAACTTCTTTTCCTTCTTGCAGAAGCTCAGATGATGATGGGGATGAAGAATCAGCTGCTCAGGGGAGCAGACAGACACACGATAATCTTTACAGAGTGCACATGCCCAGCCTCTATAGCTGTGGGAGTAGTTATGGCAGTGAGACCAGCATTCCAGCAGCAGCACACACAGTCAGCAATGCTCCCGTCACAGAGTACATGTGAGTATCCTGACAAAAAGGCTGAATTGCATCTCATCCAAGTTGCTGCGCTCAGATTTTGTAGTTGCAGGGCTGGTACTTTCAACTAAGCTGTGGAAGTGATAAAGGATTCTGTCTGAGATGTCAAAAGGCATGTTTTCTGATTAGCATCTGCTGGGATAGCCTAAAAGTACTGCAATAGAAAGGGTTGTATTAGGCAGCATGCTCAAAAATAGTACCACTGCTTCGTACTGTGGGATTTAGACATCTGTCCACAGAAAAGGGAAGCAGTGTTATCCAGGCTCCTTACTGCACAATGGTTCTGATCCCTGTGAAGCTTGGCTCTTCAGACAGAGCAGTTTTGCCAGAAGATTTTAAGCCTCCTTAGAGACCAGGAGCCATAGCAAAACCTGCAGGCTCTTTCCTTCTCTGTGTTTGAAGCCACCTCTGGTATTTGTTGCAGTCTGGAGCTGCCTGGTCCAGGTGGGACTTTAAGAGCTTTCTCTAGAAGTGCCAAACCCTGATGGCTCTCTGACTCCCTTTTGGGGCCCATCTCTTGGGCTGGCACATCGTTTTGTTCTTCCCTTTAGATTTTGTCCTTACTTTATCTCCAGTTCTGCAGCTTGGCAGTTCTGACTCTGTAGAGAGGCAGATTTTTCGCACAAACCTATTTTTAATTCATTCGATGCGATTCAGTGTGGGCTGTTCTGAGTAAGAGTGTAAAGATAGCGTTATTTCCCTTAGCTTGAGCACAAATTTTGTGACTGAAGAAGGGGATCCACATGGCCTGTAAGAAAAGCTTTGAGGGAGACTGATCTGCTGCAGTAATTCTGGGGGTGCTGTGCTCTGTCCCATGTCACTGTCAGAGACCTTCCCTGGAGAAGCGTGGCACGTACCCCCATTACCATGTGTGTCTTCCTTTCCTAGGAGCCAGAATGCAAATTTCCAGAACCCCCGTTGTGAGAATACCCCGCTCATTGGCCGGGAGTCCCCACCTCCCTCAGTAAGTCTCTCTTTACTGCTCCTCTCTGCTTCAGTGACTTTGGGGAATACACATTTACCACTTCTGTATACTCTCAAGGGAGCTGATTGTGCAGTCCAACACAGGATCTGGCCCATAAATCAAAGCAGTATAGATGAGCCACGGAGAGCAAAACTTAACTGTGCTACTTTTGACATTGCACACAAAAACAGTAAAACTAAATCTATTAACATCAGTAATCTTATGGGCCCAGTCCTGCCACCACTGAAATGCATGAGTGTCTTGGTGGGTGACTTCAGCAGGATGATTCACTTGCATGCATTATTCTTGCTATCTCTGGCACTGCACTGATTCCTTAAGTTTAAAAAGAAGATTGTTAAAGCAGTAAGCTCAGAGTTATTGCTGAACCTCTCTCCTTAATTTGCCCTAAAGAGACAGTGGGGTGAGACTTGTATTTTTTGTTGTTGTTGAGATTTTTTTTTTTTAATCTTTTGTTTTACAACTCTTTTACTTTCTTTAGAAGCTATTTTTGTATTTAATTTCCTGTGGAGGGGGAAGACAAAAAAAAAAAACAACAACCAAACACGTTCATGGAAGGTTTTGATATCCTGTAAACCTTACTTACACCAGGACTTGGAGAACATGCCATCGCAGTGCTCGCTAACTTGGTGGTGTGATTGCAGAGGTTGAGTAGTAGCGTGGTTAGTAATCAGCCAGTCTTCAAGTGTAGGTAAAGAAAATGCACTCAGTGGCACATGATTTAAATCACGGGGAGGGGAGGAAGGAGTAGGAACTGTGGTGGGAAGGGGGATAATCACATTCATTTTTCACTTCACAACAACCACTTCATCTCGCCACAGATGAAGTAGAATAGTGGAAAGGTGATCCTTGACTTGGTAGTTGGCCAGATCTCTTGCAACCTTCTTAGAAACACAAACAGGTTTGTTTTTGTGGTGTTTTTTTTTTTTTTTTCCTGTTGCCTGGTGTTCTGAACAGAAGTTTTGGTAGTGTTATCTGCTCTCAGCAATGAGACAGTACTCAGAGGAGCTGACGTGTGGCACGCAGTGTGGCGTGGCAAGAGCTTGCTTTACCACTGGCATTTCCTGCCACTATCCCTCTGGATCTGCCAAGACATATGTTCCTTCTGTGTCTGTAGGCCAAGGTCCTGCCTCTCCTTCCCCTACTGCTCTTCTGCTTCAGAAAAAAAGCACACTCCTTTCCGCAGGGGCTTTAGTTATGCAAGATGTTTCCTGGTTCTTCAGTAGCTGTTTGCGTTAATACCCTGAAAGGGGAACTAAGTCCTGGTGCCTTAGGCTGGTTTCTGGGAGGAGATAAAGATGAGATTTTATTTTTGCAGGGGAACTTGACTTGACAGCAGCCTGTGTGGTCTATAGGGAAGTGCATGAGCAGGGGAAGGAGGAGAGTGCATTGCTGCTCCTGTAGACAACTGAGCTTCTGCCTCGGTGAAGCAAGGAATGGAATGTAGGATAAGTGTGGTTTCTGGAAGGGCACACTGATAGGTGGAGAGAGAGAAAATCCTTTTTGCAGTCCTGCAGTATAGGCAGTCAGCAGAGGAGGGGCACTTTTCTGTTTCTGTATTCACAGCTCTCCATAGTAGGTGGCTGGGATCGTATGGAGGCAGAAGAACTTGCACGACCTGTTTGAAGGAAATTATCTGTGGAAGGAGAGAGATAGGAGGATACTAATGCTCGTGTCCCTGCCTCTTACTGGGAGGGAGAAGGGGAGCTCACCATGTCAATAGGGCATATCCAGTGAGTGGACAGAGCTGACGCATTCCATTTTGCTTTCTTTCTGAGAACAGATGGTGAGGACTGAGATGTGATGATCCTGCTGCATTGTTTGTCCGTTTCTTTTCCTTGCTTTTTGTTTGTTTGTTTTTTTCCCTCTTCTCATTCCTTCTGTTTTCTCCTTCTTGCCACAGGGCTGTTCCTTTAGGGTTGTAGAGCCCACCTTGTCACTGACACACACCACAGCGTTTCACTTGCTTGCACTGTATTTTTCATGCACGTTGAGGCTGCACTCTCTTTTTCTCTCTTTCTTGCGTCATCACAGTTGTATTTGGCTGCCATGGACAGTAGCAGCCATATGAGCTGGCAGCTTAAGCCCTCGGACAGTGCACGGACATACTGGTAACAGCGCCCGCAAATGGAACAGGTACTGGAAACAAAAAGGTCCTTCTTGCTCAACCCCTTCTCCACTCCCGACCACTCCTCATCCCTGCACTGTTTATCCCAGGCCAGTGCCTTTTATTTCTTCACATTCCTTTCCTCTGCACCTCCCACCCCATTCCCTCCTGCCAAGGGTTAAAATGACTTAGTTTTGCTCTGGTGCAGACTCAAGCAGCAGATTTAACCTTGGAAAGGCTTCTGGTGCTCGATGTGATGGCTACAGAGACCCGTGCCTCACAACTCATGGCTGCTTTAGCTCAAAGTGCACACTGGAGAACAGCTTCAACACTTAGTCCTGAGCGCTGCTTAAATGTGGAATTAGTGGTGCACTTTAAATGCAGAATAGAAGTTCTTCCATCCCAAGAAGCTGCTTTAAAGCGAGAACCAATCTAGTAGCTTTTCAGTCAGGACCAGTTCTCTTATTTCAGCTTTTTAGCTTCCCTTGATCCCTGCTGCTGTTCTTTTTGTATTGACTGCTCATAGCAGCGTGTGCCCCAAACCACAGATGTTTATCTGCCACGTGCTTTAAGCTCCTCAGTAGGATTTTTAATTTGTTGAAAGGCTGTGGTTGGTAGTGGTGGCCTGTCCTAAAGAGTTATTTCAGTGCCTGTTAGAACTGTGTGCAGCTTCTCCTTGCATTTAAAGTCAGAAAGGAGTCAGTTTAAAGACAACTTCCCTAAGGCTCCAGGCATAAGCACTAATATTTATTTCATTCTGTTTCAAAACCTTTTACTGTTTTGTTTGTTCTGTGTATGTCCGACTCATTTCATCCATCTCCCATGGGCTCTGTGAACAGAGCCCCCTTAGCATCATTTCACTGTCTGAATTTTCAATGTGCTGTTGTTGCTGACAGTCTCCAAGACAGCCAATGTGTCTTCCCTCACAGTAGTCCATCAGAAAGCCACTTGCATACAGAAAGAGTAGGTGGTCTGCATTAGGCCTTGGAGTTTTTAGCTTGGTTGAATACAGGGTGTAATGAAAGCTCCCAGGCAGCTCACCTGGTGTAAAGGACAGCGTGTTTCCCCAAGGGAGCTACAGCCATGCAGTGACTGGAAGGTGCTGGTTCCAGTTGGAATAAAGGGGCTATTGCTTTTGGCCTGTGCAGTCAATGACCCCTGTCTTAATTCTGTTCCCAGGAAGACGTGTCCATAAAGCTGCTATTCCTTCATTTCTGCCGTTCTTGCTGGGACTTCTCTTAGCCTTGCATTGGATTCCTTTCTGTCATGTTGCTGCTTGGTCTGTGCTCTTGCTGCCTCTTGCCATTTGTCTGCCTGTCTTGTGACGTGCTGGGAAGCGTGCTGTCTGACCTGGATGTCTCAGTGCCCTCTGCCATGGTGCATGAACACAAACCTGTCTTGAAGCATGGTGCTGGAACCCATGGAAGGGTCACAACTTCCTTCAGTCTTAAGCCTCGTAAAGACTGCTCCTGGGCTCATGGTGGTCTTTCTGCTTCCTGCAGGTGGTATTGTAGCAAAGTCAGAAGACTGCTTATGAGTCTGTCCCATGAAATAAAGTACTGCCTGGTGGGGGAAAATTCTGGGGTCTTTATACTGGGCTTGAATTATCCTCTGGGCTGGAACATGACTTCAGTCTTCACTGTCTTCTGTTTCCCTAAGGTCACACCCAGAGTTAATGTGTCTGTCTGCAGGGCTAAGAAAAAGTCATTGCATTCTTTCCAAGACTTTAAAAACAAACAAAGCAAACAGAAACTCTGTTCTTTGGACTTGGTCAACTTAAATCTCTTTGAATTCAGAACCCATTGGCTGGAATTGGCTATTTCCCTCCATTTGTACCTCCCATTCATAATGATACCAAACTCTGTGTTTACTGTGCTGTAGCTATTTGAGAGGTGGATCAACCTTTAAGAACTTGACTCCAGAAACTTTGATCTTTATTGGCTTACTAAAATAGCTCTGGCAGGAAATCAAAGTCAGGGTAGCCAAAGAGATGTATTTATTTTAACAAGTAGTCAGTGGTTTTTACTTGGAGTCATGGTTTCACACGGTAAGTGATCTTCCAGAGCAGCTCTGTTAGCAGTGAAGTACTCACGATCTGCACAGTTCACAGGACTTGGTAGAATTTATGGTCTCTAAAATTAACCAATTACTCTCATTATTAGTATTTTTTTGCAACAAATGATTCCTTTGTATGCAAACTGCTTCTGATAATCCCCTCACTCTCACGTGTTCACTAACCATACCTATGAAAGTTTATGCCCTCAACAAGGCTAAATGTGAATGATTCTTTTTCTTTCAAGAGATGCAAAATAAACTCTTGTGCAATCAGCTGTGTTTGTCCTAGCTGACTGGTAAGTGCCTGGGAGGTGTGCTGTGTTGGCTAGCACAGGCAACCTGGAGGAACAGCAGCAAGAAGTCTGTTAGGCCCTCTGCTTGGGGTGGCTGAGAGTAGGGAGAAGACATTGACCTCCTTGCTGTATTTAAAAGGGTACAAGAGGGCATATAGGACCTGGGGGCTGAGAGTACTGGAAGAATCGATGCATTGTGCATGTTCTTTGCCTTCTATGCAAGTCTTTAAAGGAAACTAAATGCAGCTGTGTGCATGATGGCTGTGTCAGGCAGTGTATCCGGGGGGTCACCTGAGAGCAGAGACCAAGACTTCCTTAGCTCCAAACTGTGCTCAGGCTTAGAAGTCTTTAGATCTTTCTAAAAGAAGTTATTTTCTAAGTTATTTTAATAGTGAACAGTATAGTTTGGTTTCATATCCATGTGACTGGCGAGTTTCTGCTGATACATCTTCATTTGTTGGCCTGCCCAGATGTTGGGATCTGTGTTTTCCACAGCATCTTCCCATTGCTTCACAGCAAAGGATGTGCACTAAAGTGCTTAGATGAGAGATGCTGACAGCATGTGGAGCAAAGCATTCATGCAGTGATTCTAATGTAGTTACTGAATATTTGGTGCATGCTTGCGGAGCTGTGCTGTGCTGGTTGTAAGAGGTGTGCAGAAGTTCTAGCTGTTTCCAATTTTCAACCAACTTTTCATGGCTGTTAGGAATATCCTTAACAGAAGGAGTAACCAGTTCAAACTGTAATGGGAAAAGGTTGTAAGGTACAAAAATCCTGAGTTAAGGAGAGAACATCAGCCCTAACTCTGACTATTGAGTCTTGATTTGTTCCTTGTGGTGGATAGCAGGTAGGTTTGAATGTAAAAATGCATTCTGCTTGACTGTTTTTGTTTTGTTTTTTTTCTTTGGGGAGGAAGGAGCAAATTCTTTTCAACTTCTCTTTCCACAATGGGTACATTATTGAAATATGGTTCATCAAGCAGTCCATCTTGATTGTTAATGTTCTAAAGAAAATTGATGCTGCAAGTTGTGCACTGAATCTATAGGATTTCCATGATCCTAGAAGTTGGTTGTTTTTTTCAAAATACATCTTGCAAAACCTTAACAACTGCAAATTTTCTTTTCATGCTCATCTCCTACCATGCTTTGCATATGGGATACAAATGGAAAATGAGCAATCAAATGCATTTTGCCTTCTAAGATGTTCTTCATAGCGTGATGCTTGGCTGGAGATTTCAACATTATACTATCTGTGAATGTGTCCTGCTTATGTTATGAGAAAATTCTTTGACTTCTAAGCCTCTTTGAGCCTGCTGGGTTAGTCTCATGTTTTAATAATGCCCTAAACTTCATTTCTGAAACAGCAATCGTATTTCATAAACTGTATGGAATACAGTCCTCAAACTGGCTCAGCTTGGCATATTCAACCTTTTCTTTCTCACTGGCAAAAAGAAAGAAAAAAATCTTAAAAAGAGAAAGAACATGTAGACCCTTTGTCTTCTAAATATAGATGCTGTTTCTGGGCCAGAGTTTTATATTAAGATCCACATTCTGCAGAAGATGTTCCCGTTATGGAAGATAGTAAAAGATAAGTGTGCCAATGAGCCCCAGGTATCTTCATCTTCTGCCAGTGGGGTCAGCCCTGATGAAGGAGCAGTATCTCTCTTCTACTGTACACAGGTTCAGCCTGGTTTGGTCTTTGAAGGAAAACTGAAAATGCTGTTAATTCTCTGAAACCTCCTTTGAATAGCCAGGCTTCTGAAAGCCTAAGGATGCCTCATAATGTTCTTTCCCAGTGGGCAAGATAAATCATAGCTCCTGGTGTGGAACTGCCTTCCAGTTGTCTTTTTTGCCAGCTTAACTGGCTATTTTATGTGGTGCAGCTTTAAAGGCGATAATAAGTCAGTATGCTGAAGAGCACTCTTGGGAAGTAAGATGTGGATTTACAGAATTATTCAAGCTCCTGCTGGTATTAAAAAGAGGAAAAAGCACCTGTCCTCATTGCTTGGTTTGGAGTATCGTGGTAGCTGAATCCCAGAAGCACTAACATGGCCAAGATCAAAGCACTGAACGCATTGAAACAAAGAGGAAAGAGTCTCTCGTTCTTACTGCAGTGTATTTGCATGCTTTTCAGCTCAGTATCCAAAGCTGGATGGCAGGTGTTATCTCAGTAGCCTCTGGGAGCAGTTTGGGATTACCTTGCTTTGAAAAAAAATTGTAAAGCAACCCAAACCAAAGGCACCTCACACCTCTGTGAGCTTCTTTTCTCACCCCCAGGCTGGAGTCTTGTCTACCACTGCATGGTACACAGGCTGGATCCCATGCCATGGTGGATAATTAACCACCTGATAACTATTAAATAGCTAATATCTTGTTGGATGGCAGCTTGTTTCCAGTCTGGTTGGGTCTGTCCTTTCTCAGGCATAAATTGTTCACAGGATTCATTCTTCCACACTTTCCTTTCAAAGTGTCCATTTGTGATGTGTGCAATCTTCTGCTGATCTCATTGCACAGAAATGCAATGAACTTTACACCTCTCTTCTTTTCAACCTCCTTTTCTGGCATGGTTGAAAGAATCAGCATGACTAAAAGAGGATGAAGGTGTGAGGTGGGTTTTTACATCTGTATCATTTCCACTTCCCTTTCTTCTTCCAAGTGAAATATGGCACGTTTTGATTCAATGACTATAGGGCTTCATTCTCTATAGAGAGCTTGGACAAATCATTAGCCCATGTGCACTGACCTGGCCAGCATCCTTGCAGCAGGCTATACCAGTGTGTTGCTCTACACAGTGACTTTGAAACTTTCCTTGTCAAACCAAGCCAGCAGCTCCTTGATATGCAGCAAATGCTGCCAATGTTGTGCTGGGAAGTGATTGCAATCTGTTGTTCCATTCTAATATTTATTCTGACTTCTCTGTTCTGTTGTTTTTGTTTGTTTGTTGTTTTCTTGTCTTGTTTTCCTCCAGTACACCTCCAGCATGAGAGCCAAATACCTCGCCACCAACCAACCTCGTCCAGATGCTGGCAATGTGCATTAAGATGAGAAAGCAAAAAAAAAAAGAAAGAAAAGAGAAAATCAAAAAGAAAAACAGCAACACAATAAAAACCAACAAAAAACAACAGCAACAAAAACCCACATGTGCAGTCAGACAAAACAATGTGCCAACTGCTGTGCCCCTGTGCTGTCCTCGTAGAACAATCCTGCTGTTCTGCCCCAAATCCAGTGCAGCTCCTTTGGTTTCTCCAGCTCAGAACGCCCCTCCAACCTCATACCTGCCCAATGGAGTGGAAGCCCTTTTTGAATTCAAGCCTTTGCTTTGTTGTACCTGATGTGCAAGAGAGAGCAAGCACGTGCAGCAAAGCAGCTGAAAGATCACCTGCCTGCCCAGGGCTCCACCTGCCTGGGGCCAGCTTTGTTGGAATATCCGCTAGAAAGCATTGGTGAATATCTTCTGCCTGCATTTTTTCTCTTTCAGTTCCCCAGAGAAATGTGGTGAAATATGGTGGTAGATCTTCTGCTGTGGGACCAGCAGAGCTGCTTGGTCTGTCAGATGCTGAAGAGGCAGAGGCTCGGTGTCTGTGACAACGTGCAACCAGGGGAAGCTGAGTTGATGCGCAGTGTGGCGTCATGGTGGGAGTCCCCTGGTCCAGTGCCCTGTGTGGGGGAAGGGAAACCCCTGCCTCTTGCTGTCTCTGCACATCCACTGTACTTTGGGAGCCTGTGGTTCTGTTCTAGGAAAAAAAAAAAAACCACTCCACTACCCTGATAACTTCTTTTTTTTAAACCACTAAGAGAATGCCTTTTTCTTTCCCACTGTAGCTAGCATGTGAATTCTTGAGAAGGAGCAGAGGATCCCAGCACCTTTTAACTACCCTGGCCATTGCTCTGAACCTGACCTCTGTGCTCCATCAGGGAAGCCCAGGTACTTGCAGAAGGCATTCTGCAGCAGGGTGCTGCCTTTACCAGGCTGACACAGATCAAACAGGAGCCAGCCACTGCCCACTTGGTGCCAAACTTTTCCAGGAAAAGACTTTGTGGTGGGGATTTTTGCACTAAAGAGTTTCAGCTCTCTGATGCTAAGTCTTATGGGACAGTCAGCTTGTGAAAACAAGAGGGGCTACAAGCGCCGATGGATTTATAGTAAATGCAAGCTCTCCCTGCAAGAGTGACCTGTGAACTCTGCTGAACTTTCTTCTCGTTTTCTTTTTTTATCACCATTTACAGCACAGGGTTGTTGAACTGGCACTGAAGAAGGTTTTTTTGGAGCCTCAATCCTAACAAACTCACAAGATCCTCAGTGTATCTTCTGTGCTTCAGAATCAGAAGCCCGGATGCCGTCTGGATAACGTCGTGACTATCAGAACATGTTTTTATTCTCTTTGTTTTTGTTTTTCAAGGCACATTGCTAACCACTCTCTGACCATATTAAGGCACACATAGGCATTTTTCTAGCTACGAGGCAGAACAAAGCTTGCAAAGGGGCAGCTGGGTGCCTGCAAAGGGCAACATCCTCCACTGGTGCTGTACTTCCCACTGAAGAGCAGTGCTCCAACAGGCACTGGCAGCTTCCCACTGGAAGAGGAGTCTGCCTCATGATGGGCTGGTAGTACTGTAGAGTAATGACCTTCCAGTGGGGAAACTATGATGTTCTTTCGTGACTTCTTCAGTTTGTTTTACCTCTGAGCAGGGGCATCTTAGCGTGTAGCTGCTGAGTGTGGCATTAAATAACTGGCAGAAGAGACGGAGTGGGAAATATCCCTCAAACTGGAGCTGAGCCATTGGCAGAGGCAGTTAACTTCACCTCCACGACATTCAGACTCAGGGTCTGTTGATCCCACATTTGCTGTACGAGGCGCAAAATCTACCGATCTGCCTTTCCTCAAGTCAGTTGCCTTCTTGCAGTGAGGTAAGAATTGCTCCTCGCAGGTGGCTGAGATGATGGTATTTGCTGTGAAAGGGTACCAGCTGTGTGGAAAGCAAGCTTTGTGCTCCTCACGAGAAGATAAACGACTAACAGACTGAAAAAAATACAGGCCAGCTTTTACCATTCAAAGGGATGAGAAGGAAAGGGAAGAAGAGGCATCACAGAATCAGAATTGGGGAAAAAACTTCACCGTAAATCTCTGGAAGCAGGATTTTCTTGCTCAGGACTGAGTAGGCCTTTCAGACACATTTGATGGGCTTCACACTGAAACATACCTCAGTGTTATCAAATAACAAGGGCAGGGAGTGTGCTGCAGGGTGCATGGAGGGACACTGTGGCTCACGAGCACCAGGTTTTCCACCCTGTCCTAAAGGAAAACCTAGGAGTAGAGCATGTGGCATAGTTAACTCGCAGGGTCCAAAGTGTAGAATTGCTGTCTAGGAGCAGCAGAGCCTTCCCCTTGCTTTGAAGAAAGAAGCAAGATGCATAAATCCTGATTAAGACCAAATTGTTCTGTCGTTTCAAGGATGTGCCCAGATTGCTACTTAGGTTACCATTTTTAGGGGGGGGTGCCCTAAATCTGTGGCCTGATCCTACTCCCTGATGGCAAGTGTTCTGGAAGCTTGAGGTGAGGATGTGGGGAACCCTGTGAAGACAGGTGCTTCTGTATATTGCCTCTGCTGTGTACAGAATGAGTCTGGAACATGTGTGTGACTGCACTTCGGAAGGGGCTGCATCTGAGTTGTCACAGCAGCACTGCCTGCTGCTACAGGGATAATGGGGAAGCCTGTGCCTCTTGTTTGCAGCATCTAATGCAGCAGCCACCTTGACTTGCTTCTTTCCAAGGTTCAGCACAGCCACCCTTACCACCCAGAACAACTTCTGACAACACTTGGGCTTGCAGCAAGGCACAGATGTGGAGGTATGTGCTCTCTGACTTCAAAATATAACTGGAAAGAGTGTTTTGGAGATGACATTTTGCTCTCTGGAGGCCAGCATAACCTGACTGCAGTGTGAGCTGTGTACTTTTGTCCAGCCAGCACTTCCTTTACTTGACATGGATATTGCACTTTTGTAAAGCATCCTGGAACTCTGCTGCCCCGCTGCATGCTGTGCAGAGCGCTGGATAGGAAACACAGACAAACGGTTTGGTTTTCTTTTAGTATTGTTATTACTTTTTCTCCTTTTTTTTTTCTTCTTGTTTTTTTTTTTTTTCTTTTTTCTTTTAAACTGGAACCTTGAGCAACAGCATGGCATTTCTGCAGACTGGTCTGAGTAGATCTGCTGAAGAACAGATGGCCTTTGCCTATTCCTATGGCTGTGACACAATCAGTCTCATCCATATGGTCACATTTTGTCTGAGGAGGGGACTCTCAGAAGCCAAGATCTCCCAGACTCTGTGCCTCCCTCTTGAGTGAACAGCAGGTGCTATCTGGCAAAGACTCATCTGTTCTGGATGGCATTCATGGTTGAGGGAGTCCAAACTCTTCGAGCTGTAGGAGGGAAAGCTGTAGAGATTTCTCTCTCTTCCATTGTGTGTCTTTGTTCTTAATGTGACAAAATGCCAAGGCCATATCGCTTGGTGTGTCCCAGCTGACTTTATCAGAACATTTATCATGTTACTGGTTGCTGACAAAGGGGTCCAGAATTCAGGGGAGCTGAGATTGGCCTCTGGACACCTCGCTGACTGTGGAAGGAGGGAGGCTGGTCCAGCTGGAGGCGACTGCATTGCTGAAGGCACTTCATGTTACTTTTTCAGAAGCACAAATGTGGTCATTGGCTTGTCTGGTTGGCTTGGTTTATTTCCACTACATCATCATGTGTGAATGACTTTTTCTTTTGAAACTGAGAACTCTTCCAAGCACACGAACATCTCCACAATGTGAAATGTAAATAGCATGTTGGACTCTCGTGTCCAGTGTTCAAGACTGCATTGTAATTGTAAAGGAAATCAAATCAAGACTTGGCTGTGAATTTCTTGTGCTGTCTTGGGAATATAACTGTAGTGTTTGTATCCTGTATGTATTATTAAACTGAATTCATTTTATGTGCTGATAAAAGGGTTCAAGCTAAGGTTTTTAGCGTGCATCCATGTATCCAAATGTGAAGGATGGAGTGCTCCCTTCCCCTCCTGTCCTTTTTAAGTTTTCTCCATTTGATAGCTGTTAATTTTCCGTGTACAGTCATCTCAGCCACGATGCAAGGATGTTCATGTGAGTGCTTTGAGGAGGACGCAGTGCATGAGGATTTCAGTGAAGTCAGGATTTCCATAGCTGTTCCCTAAAAATATGCTGTGTTCACACGAAAAGTTTGGCTTTTCTGAGAGTAAATGTTTTCTCAGGGGGCTGCTTGGCCATCGCTCATGAGGACTCCGGGTGCTGCCAGGTGTTAGCAGGCAGGAGTGAGTGGATACCTATATGAGCAAGGTACAGATCCCAGTATGGATAAACCCATGTTTAACTTCTGGTCCTATCATTTCCTTTTAGCAGCAACAGAAATCACATGCTGAGCCCTCTGAAGGGAAGGGAAGTGTTGTGGCTTGTTGGTTGTAGTCACCCTGCCTGGCGTAGGCTTGGGTTAGTTGAGTTTCTCCTTAGGTGGGGACAGGTCTATGCAGCACTTCCTACACGGGGAGCAAGGAGAAGCCAACATCTTTCCCCCCAGAGTCGGTCGGTGTAACTCACTGAACATCTTGGGCTGCGAGGGGAAAAGCCTTCTTTCAGATTCTGAGGAGTAGGTCTTACACCTTGAGAGATGGGGCCTGTCCTGTAACCAGATTGGTTCTGTTATCACCACCTGCTCTCCTTTTCCATAAGTGATGGAGGTGTGAGCTGCAAGTGGCTTCTCCACTCCTCCCAGGAGGTCCAGCAGAAGCATCAGCTGTGTTGGTGGCAGTGCCTGGATGTGCCACAGAGTGCTAATGAGCGCTCTGTGCTTTGGGGGGGAGCAGTGTGGGCCCCAGCTGAGCCCCCTGGGGAGCGTTGCCCAAGAGAGGGGCTGTCACGGAGCCTGGAGCTCCCCGGTGCTCACCCAG